GGAAGAAAAAAAAAAAGAAAGAAAGAAAGAAAAAAACCTAATGTAGCAAATAAATGGATTTCTTCCACTTTGGTGTTTGTTGGTTTAAACCGTATGAGATCTGTGTTAAAATCCCTTTGTCGATGAGGTGTGCTTTTCCTGTACAGGAAGGCTCCCTGGAGAGAAAGTTCATTAGCATCCCAAGGGCTCAGCCCAAGGTGTGTTTGCCCATCTGCTCTGGGAAGGAGTGAATCTCCTTTGAGAAGGCAGCTGAGATGGTAACTGTACTGGGTTTGGAATGAAGCAAAAAACCACTAAGTGACCAAATGTGCCAAAAGCAAACATTTGTATGGTGAGTCTTAATGGAGCTGGCTTAACATATTGTAAATCTGTGAATACAGTTGTAATAGGATCAGGAGTTTGGCATGAGCAACAAGCAAGTGGCCAAGCTTGCCTCTGGTGACACCAGATCAAAAACATTCAGAGCAAGAACTGTAAAGTGGGAAGGAGTTTCTGTAAGCAGAAGGGAGTAACGCTGCACCAGCAGCACTGCAGATGTGGCTGCCATCAGCTGGATTTGAAGGCTTGACCAGCTGTAGGCAGGGCTGAGACAGTGCAAATTGCTGTAATTCTCCTGCAGTTAAAAAGGCTCTGGCAATTACTGCTGCTCTCAGGCTGCTCTGAGAGAGATGTCTGCGGTTCCATATATAGTGGCAGCTGTACCAAGGTGGCTGTGCCATCCTCTGTTCTGGGTGCCTGTGGCTATAGCCATGGGGCAAGCCAGGATGTGGCAGTAGGGAAGGGTTAAATATGCAGGCTGGGATCAATGGGGCCAGCAGTTTTGATGGCTTTGGTGTTGGGATGTTAGTTTAAAATGAGATTTGGGCTGCAGCTTGGGTGTTGTGTCCAGGCGAAACAGTGCTGCTTTGATGGCTTTTACCAGGGCACCAGTATGATACAGCCAACACTGTGCTATTCCTTCTTCTCAGGTTTCTGAACTGAAATGAAAACTGAGCTGAACTGCTCAGTGCAAAACTGACCATGGTAATTGTGAGCTTCTATCTGGTTCAAACTGCAAGCAATGTAAATGGTTTAAAACCACAAAAAAAACTTGCTCCAACCTGGAAGGAAATAATATTCTCACCCTTAGCCCGGATCTGTGCCTTGCTGTGGCTGCTGAGGTCTTGAAAACGGGGAGTTCACCAAGGAAAAACCCATTTCCAGGTGAATTTTCAGTTTATTTCCTTTCCCTGAGATTGTTACATGCCATCTCAGTGAAGAGTTCTGCCTGTTTGCTTTCATCCTAGAGATGCTGGCAGCACTTCAGACAAAGCCTATAAGCATCATGGTCATGAGACTTCACTGACTGTCAGAAAGTCCCTGTCTCTCTTTGTTGGCTCTTAACATGAAAAAAGAATCTGGACTTTGCATCTTCAGCCCATTCAGCAGCTACATGCACAGAACACTGGAACAAAGACTTGAGCTGGATCAGTTCATGTCAGTCTGATTTTTAAAATCTTTATTTTTAGGAAATGTATAAACTGTGCTCATCAGGGCTGAGGCTGAGGGTGAAGTGCAGCGTAAGGTAAGTCAGGTAATCCACAAGCTGCATGCTGTTATTCCAGCTGTTGAGAGCAACCTTTAAAGAGAACTCTTACTACTGAGGTCTGAAGACATTGAGGAGGTCACTGCTGAATTACTACAAGGTATTATTGCTTTGAAAGATGCGTGCATCTCACTTACAGACACAAAAATCGGAGGGAGAGCATATATGGACCTGGAAAGAACCACAAAATTAGGAAGGTTTTTCATAATTTCACACATTCACCAAAAATAAAAATCGAGACAAGTGAGAAATTCTGCATTGATGAGAGGAGAAAAACTGCTGCCCTGGAGCAAGGAGCAAAGTAGGCATGGATTTGTTTGTGTTGGCTGGCATTATCTTGTACCCTGTGGACTGTCATTGCGCCTTTCTCAAGATAACAATTCTGCGAGGCTGTTAGCTGAGGAGGTAATTATGTTTACTGGCTCCATACTTACTAACGTGGTGGATTTGACAAAGTGTGGCTGGCAGTGCCTTTAAACTGTGGCTCAGCCAGTGGCAAAATATGAATTTAGATATGTTATCTCAAGTCTGCACCATCTCTAAGGCAATTAATTACTGGAAAATGTGTTAAGATAAAAACATCTGACAAATGAGGGAGGGAGAGTGTGTGCTGATCTGGTTACAGCACTGCTTTATTCTAGTATGGAATTTATCTGGTTCGCTCAAGAGAAATACGAAAATGGAAATATTGGCGTTGCTTCCAGCTGCCCAGACACAGGCAAGACGAGTGCTCTGAAGGGACGCACTATTCTTTGCTGATCCATTTCAAACAAATGCTGCATTTGATCTCATGAGCCAGAACCTCCTGCTGGCACAGCACAGTCCAGGGAGACAGCAAAGCAGAGTCAGCGCAGCAGCAGGACCCGGCAGTGAGCACAGACAGTGCAGCAAATGTGAACCACCCATGAGTGGGGACAGGGCTCTCCCTCCGCTTCCTTCCAGAGAGCATATTTGCCCCGTTGCCTACTGGGGCCAGAGCCTGCCCTGACCGAGGGCCAGTGGCTGGATGATCCCTGCCCAGCAGAGTGGGACTGTGCTCTGAGCCGGGAGTACTGCACTGCAGTGATTCTTTTGCTTCAAACTATGATGCTAAGCACCCATGGCACTCCATTCCTGTGTATTCACTTTGGGTCGGTGTCTGCTGGGGGGTCCCACTCAGCCCTGCTGCGAGTGGTGCCCCTGGGCCCGGCCGAAAAGTTTTCCACGGGGCCCTGACCCCCTGCCTGGGGGCACTGCTCTGCTGCTCGGGAAGGACGTGCAGGGGTGATGGCTGGAAGCAATACATCACCTCGGAACAGATCAGAACCGCGTCTCAGATTACATCTGCCCTAATGGGAAATCCATACGGAAAATGAAGCCCGCTGATAAATATTTGGTAGTTGCACACTGAAAAGGACTGTGCTTTTGTATCACAGCATAAACGTGTGGTACTCCTGGGCCTTCATCAGACTGTCTCAAAAACATTGACTGTATTGACTGTTTACTCTTATGCAACCTTAAATGCCTTGGCAGTGGAATTGTTCTTAATATCATTTATTTAAATTGAGTGAGAAGAATTGCAAAAATATTAAGTTCCATTTTCATGTTTTATTAGCTTTCTTTGGAAGTGTTCCATTTGACACCCCAGTAGTTGTGCACAGTTCCTTACTCCAACTGTGCTATGAGGAGCTTCTGGGCCATCGTGCTGTGCACAGTGCTCATCAACTTCCGAGGAACCGCCCCAAATTGTGAGGTGAATCCAACACAGTTCAAAGATACCTAATTTAAGACAGTGTCAGAAGAGGAAATTGCAGATAAAAATACATTGAATGTTTTTGTTGCTGTGACTACAACTGAAACCCTTTTTTACCTATTTACCCCAGTGTTATTTGCTCTCCCTGAACCCAGTGCAGTGCTGAGCACAACAGCGATGCAGCAGCAGAGTGAGTCATGGGGTGCCCTGCAGATGCTGGGAGGGCAACTGTGGACCTGCAGACCTCAAACTTCCCCGTCATTGTGTTTGTTTTCCAGCAAATCTTGAATTCAAGTTGAGTAGGAGAAAGTACAAGTAATGGAATGAGCTGTAGACAGGTGTGAGCTCACCAGGCAATGCTGAACTTATTTACAAGCAATTCAGGTTATTTTTGAGCTCCAATAAATGGTTTTTATTTTTTTTCTAGTTCATACTTTTTTGTGACTGGATAAAGTAAAACACTGAGGAAGTTTCAAAAGGACCAAGTGGGTCCTGATGCTGTATCTTCTCTTATTTGGACACCAAAATGATGGATGTGCCATTCTGCTGTGCAAAGTGAGTGTGAAACTGCCTGGACACCTCTTGGGTAGCTGTGATTTGCATGCAAAACCTGTATTTCCTAATTACCTTTCCTGAATACTCATGCCAAGATCAGAGAAGCTGAAACCATCTGCTCAGGTATTTTTGACGAGTAAGAAAGGGGATGGAGGTGAGCTACGGCTTGCACTCTATTTGTGCAGCCCTGCCGTTCCATGAGGGGCTTTTAGTAGAGTCAGGAGCTGAGGCCGTGGCCCCGTGATGATGCAGCAGCGGGACAGGGTTTGGCTGCCGGCTCCCGGGAGCTTTGCAGCGCTGGCAGGAACACAAAGCAGTACAAACAGCAGTACAAACTGCCTGTCCCTGCCGTCAGCAGCTCTCACAATGAATGCAAACAGGGGGCAAATCTGCTGAGTAAGAGGATGCCTTCCATACGGGGTGACTTTAGAAACGATAACTCTGAACAGACAAAAAAGAGCTTAGAGTCCCCATTTCCAAATCAGCTGCCAGCGTGGGGTAAGATCACGGGTGAAGCCGAGAGCTTAAACGCTACCAACAGCGTTTGGTTTGATGACAGCCGTCGGGTGCCTGCAATCAGCCTGGGCTGGGGCTCCCGGGCCGCGTGCCCGCTCTGCCGAACCGGGCGGCACCGCACCTGCACCGGGCATCGCAGGAGTCGCCGCCCGCCGGGCACGGAGCCGCACGCGCACCCGGCCCACTTGCAAATGACGCCGGCCCGGCTTCGGAGGGCTCCGGGCGGGGTGGATCGCCCCAAGGCACGGCTAGTGCAGAGCGCCGGCCGCGGGGCTCGGTGGGTTGGGGGTCGCTGGAAGAGGCCCAGATGGCGCCAGCTCTCCCCCCCCCCCCTCCCCGTTCCTTCTATGGCCGCTCGTGAGCGGGCCGGCTCCTGCCCCCCGCCCGGCCGAGCCTTCCCCGCCCCGGGGGCATTGTCCGCCGTAGCCCGCCCCGTCCAGCCCGGCCCTCCCCCCGGCCGCCCGGCCCTGCCCCTCGCCCCTCTCCTCCCCGAAGGCCAATGGAGACGGGATGCGGAGAGTAGGGCCGGGACGGGCGCGCCGGGGCCGCTCCGTCCGCCCCCAGTCTCCTCCCCTCGGCCGCTGACCGCTCTCTCGCGGCGGCCGGCGGGGCATGCCAGCCGCGTCCCGCTGCATGGCGCTGCTCCGGGCGCTGCTCGGGGCGCTGCTCCTCCCGATGCCAGGTGAGTCCGCACGCGCCCGCCGCCGCCCCATTGTCCGCTCCGCTCCGCGCGGCCGCACGTGGTTTTATTTATCCGACATCGGCGCCCGCGCGGCACCGGGAGCGGGAGAGAGACGGAGCGCGAGGGAGAGCGCGAGCGCGGCCCCGCTTTGTTCGCGCCGCGCCACGACGGGGCGGGCGGTGCGGGGCGGCGGGCGGCGCCCCCCCGGCAGGAGGCGCTCGTGGGCCGCGGGGCGCGAGTCTGTGGGCTGCCACGCGCTCGCGGCCCCGGGGGTGCGCGAAGGGCTGCGGGCGAGAGGCCCTCGGGGGCCGGCGATCAGCTCGAGAGGGTTCCGCCAAAGAGTTCTTGTAAAATTAACCTTTTACGACTCGCCCCGCTCCAGCTCATTTGACAGGCTTGTAAAATTAGCGAGCTCGCTGCCCGGAGCCGTACCGGCAAAACGAAGCCGACACCTGTGCGGCAGCCCCTGCGATAGGGCGCGGCGGGGCTGTGAGGCGAATCCCGCGTGGTGAGCGCCGAGCGCGGCTGTGGGCGCGTTGAGCTGTCGGGGCGTTGCGGAGCCCGACGGCTTCACGCGACCCAAAGCCCTTAGCGCCGATTTCCCCGAGAGTTCTGGGGTGCGGCTGCGGGGGCCCGAACTCCTTGCAGTCGTTAATAGCAAGTTAAGTTGCACCTCGTGCTGTGCCTGCTGCTCCCAGCTCGCAGTGCGCTCCATCCCTACAGCCGACGTCTTTCTCTCTCCCTCAGGAGTGTGGTGCTTTAGCGAACTGTTCTTTGTGAGAGAGCCTCAAGATGTGACTGCCTCCAGGAAGGATGCGGTGGTGTTAGACTGCCAGGCCCGTGGGGAAGCTCCTGTAACTATTACGTGGTTGAAAAACGGAGGCAAAGTGTCTGAAAATGAAAGGATCTACACCTTATCCAATGGCTCTTTATACATCAGTGAGGTGGAAGGAAGGAAAGGAGAGCAGTCTGATGAAGGATTTTACCAGTGCTTGGCTCTGAACAAGTATGGAGCCATTCTCAGTCAAAAAAGTCACCTTACACTAGCAAGTAAGTGCCAGCTCTTGTTTGTTAACCTGCTCCCGAGTCTGTGGCTAAAGCTCCTCAACAGTGCAAAGTGACTTACTGCTTTGATGTTTGTGTGCTTGAAGAGACAAATCCTGCAGGTTTGTTTCTTTTTAAATGTGTAAATATTATGAACAAAACTTGTCATGGCCCTGTCCAGTCCCTGGTGTGGTTAGGGAGACACAACCCCACGGGGGGTCTCATGGGTTTGGTGCCTTGTGTGTGTGCAAGCTGCAGTGCAGAGCTTCGCTGGCATGCGGGCAACCTGCTACAAAAATTCTGGGTCTTGTTTGTCAGGTGCCATTCGTGAAGCTTTTTCCGCAGTTATCTACAAATCTAATCTTTTTTGTTTTCCTAGTCTGATAATTTGATGTTGTGCTGAGCAATCTTGGGGATATCCTGGGGCCAGAGCAGAATGATAATAGAGTTGCCTGTCTTTGAGATGGGAGGGAGCAGGATGGTTTTCAAGACCTCGGTGAAGACTGAATTACTAGGTCCTTACTGTTCCAATAGATAAGATAAAAGGGAATGGCCTCAAGTTGCACTTGAGGAGGTTCAGGTTGGACATAAACTTCTCCAAAAGTGTGGTCAGGTATTGGCACAGGCTGCCCTGGGAGATGGTGGAGTCACTGTCCCTGGTGGTGTTCAGGAGCCATGGAGATGTGTTACCTATATGGGTTAGCAGACATTATTGGTAGGCGGACAGTTGGACTAGATGATCTTGGAGGTCTTTTCCAACTTCAATGGTTCTGTGATATGCTGTGTACGTTCAGCCAAGCAGACACAGGTACTGTCCCATCTGGAGATACTGCAGGGTCCTCTGGGATCAATGCTAAGGGCCTGTTATGCTGTGCCATTAGGGAAGCAAGAGTCATGACTGTAGGGCACTCCAGGCCCTTATGCTGGATGAATGGTGAGAGGAATAGTCGCATGTTAGTGCTATTACAGCCCTAACAGTCTGACCCTGAGTGCGTGTTGGCCTCCGTTTCCCTACCATCTTTTAATGTATTGAACAAGAGATGTGTGCTGCAGAATGAATGCTATGCCTTTCCCATGACAGTGCAGAGCTTTGCCAGTAGGCTGGAATCATTTCAGAGAAAGTGTAACACAGAGAGTACACAGTTTATATAGTCTTCTCATGTTCCCTCACTAATAGAACTTAACTGATGAACTTAATTTAATAGGAAAAGGCTTCCTTTGACCTCTTCAACCCTGTTCTTAGTGGCAAGTTGCACTAAACCATGGCACTGATACCTTTGTGGAAACTACGTGTTACTTGAAAATTACAAGTTTATCAAATTCAATCTGAAATTAGTTAATATAGTTGGTACATGATAGTCATGTTAACTCATGTTAACATTCAGGCTTTTCTTAACATCTGTATTTTTTACTTCTGAACGAATTACAAAAACTTAACAGTAAGGTATCAGAGGAAGGTGTGAAATACCTTCTTCAGTGAGCCAGAGCTTTGGGCAGTGGAAAATCAGCCTGAAAAGCAGATGGCTCCAAGTAAGTTATGAATTTGCCATGCTGCAAGAGGCTGTGAACTGTAAATTTTTGAAAACTGGCTATTTATTACTTTGTATCATGGTATCTTATTAATAGGATTAATGGACTCCGTGCTTTTGATTAAATGGCGAAAAATTAAGTATTGATATCGTTGGTGTTTACATTCACATCATTAGCTTTAAGGGAGTCAGCACCATTAATAAAAAGGCTGAAGAAAGCTGTTCTTAAGAGGCTAAGAATCTCATATTGTAAGTATAAAACAAAGCAGTAAATGATGGATTATGTCTCTGAGACTGAGGAAAAATTAGCATCGTTTTAAGTCTGAGAAGTTGTAGGTTACGCACTGTGTTCTTGATCTCAGAACTTCTGGAGCAGTATGGAGCATTGCATGCATTTGTGTATCACGGTAATACTCTTGTAGCATCTTTTTCCCTTTCCTCTGAGGCTGTGTCAAAAGGTTTCCTTTTTTTTTTTTTTTTTTTTTTTTTTGAATGCTTATGGCTGGTGGAGAAAAGCTGAAGAGATGGTGGATCCCTAATGATCCAGTAGGTGTTACTGACTTGAAGTGGTTAACTAGTGATCAAAAGTGAAATCATCCTATGCGCAGCAGTTTGTTCCTTTTGGTCATATTCCAGTCTGCTCCATTGCAGAATGTCATATCTTTACTGTCAACTACCAATAAAGCAGTGATTGGTGTAATTACCATTGATATCTTTGAAGTCCAGAAAGCACGTGCAAAGTTAGTTTTATGTCTCATTTTTACAGTGGTTCTGCTGGCTGCCGTGTCTTGGCTGTACTTTGTAGAGGTCTCAAGTGAATGAATTTTGAAGTCTTGTGGGGGATTTTTTGGACTTGTAAATGTGTTCCCAGGCAGTTCTGAGTTGCTTCGAAAGCAAATTGCCTCGTGGTCAGGGTATGGAAGGAACCGTACATACTAAACAGGTGGAGAATAGGCATTAAATGGGCATTCTTTCTTCGGAGGAAAAAAGCAAATGCTGTCTTTAGTCTGTGGTAGCAGCAGGGTGCGAGGATGTTCTTTTACTCTGCTTGGTCAGAGCTTTTCCCAGTAAGCTTATCTTTTGCTTCAGAATTGTAATGTTTAGTGTTGCATTTGGAAACCAATAACTTTAATCTGTCCAAGAGTTTAAGATTTGAACACACAAGGAGATCAGATCTTGGTTTCTAAAGTTAGGAACTGGAAGCTGAAGGTTGCACTCTTGGCAAGAATTCCATTATTCATGTGCAAATTAAGAATTCACAGGGTTAAAAGGTTAGAAACTGGCCAGGATGAGGTTTACCCTTGTGATAAAGAGCAGATGACCCTCATTCATTGGCCAGTGCTTTCATGTAGCTCCTCTGCAAAGTTAGTGATTGCCATGAATTGTTCTTGAGGAATGCAGAAATTCAAATGTGAGCAGGCCTTTCCTTAAGTGTCACTATGGAGCCTTATCTCCTGAGCACATCAGAGTAGGTCTGCAGGGACAGGGTTCCTCCCCAGAGGCCCCAAGGCTTTGCTTTCCTGTTGTTCATCCATGCACAAAAGAATTTGACTAATTTGGGTTTTTTTTTTTTTTTTTTTTTTTTTTTTTTTTTTTTTTTTTTTCGGTAAGATCCCCCTACTCTTTTGAGGGAAGCTGTGGAGCTGAGGTATCGCTTAGGTAAAAATAAATATTCGTTTCAGTACATGCTGGCAGTTGTTTCCAAAGCCGGTTGATTGACTCAGGGGGGAGAGAGGGAGGTTCCTGTGTAGCTCTTGGTGAGGCTCCATGTGGGGGTGAAGCGCTAACATTGAAGAGTAGATGACTCGCTCAAAATTCATCTTATTGCAGCCACAGCGACTGGGAGAGCTCTCTCTGGCTAGAATATAAAAGGAATGTGGATAAAGCCCAAGCACTTTCAGTTCAACTTTGAATCAGCTGAAAATGAAGTGAGATTTCTGTATTTCTGCACTGTGAATTATGAATAAAAGTTTAACCTCAGTTGACGAAGACTGTCTGAAGTACAGACATCTAGTAAGATAACACTAAGAAAAATGGAGGAGGAGGAATCATGTTTTGAAGTTAGTAACACAGGCTTTGAGTAGAAGCTGGACAGGATGCTTGTTTATTTCCTTTTCACAACAAGTGAGAATTGGAGTCTTGGATGGACGGAATATATACAGCTGCGAGGAATATTCCTAGGTTATTTTACAGTTTGTGAAGTATTTGGCCTGGTGCACAGAGCAGACTACTTTGTGGAGAGTTTGTGCTTTTGCTTACCTGCTGGGGCAGCGATGTGACTTCTGGTCCCATTGCAGTGTCAATAATTGGCAATGTTTATATTTTTACATCCTACATCTCTTGCTCTGCTTTTAAATATTTGATTACTTAAGAGTGCCTCCCACTGAGCCTTATCCTCTACTGCGGCAATCATGCTTTCTTAGCAGTAAACCATGCTTGTTCCAGCTGCTTGTTCTCACTTCTGCATTGTGCCCTTCCTTGTGTGGGCACAGCTACATGTGTGGCTAACAGCACAGGAACTGGTGAGGGTTAAAATAATAGAATTGAAATAAAAGATGGTTTTAAAAACTCAGATGAGTTCCCTGATGTGGTTTGTGATGGAGCCACTTGCATAGTTGTATTGGTGTAACTGAGAGGAGTGATGTAGAGGTGGAAAGGCTTGATGCAGAGAAGGTCTACTGAAAATTAGATAGCCACAGAAATAAGTGTTCATCAAACTGTGGCCTTTGTAAAGTGTTCACATAGGCAGAAATGATAACAACCTTTCTGCTGCTAATTTTTTAAAGTTAGTTTAGTTTTTTACCTGAGATAAGGGGGTTAGTAGCTGTGGTCTAACACAATATGAACTTTATTTTGTGTCATTTGATGTATCCTCCAAATTTTTGTGCAGCTCGCAGGTATGTTTAATGATGTTAATTAGTAATGGGCAGAGAAAGAAAGTTCTGCAGTGCGGGTGGGGGCAGAAGAGCACCAGTGTTTTCTCACAGAGGTGAAGTGGCAAATGGCTGGAGTAGGGAATGGCCTTGCATTGAAAGAGATAGCAAGTCTTAATGCTATAGGACTAGCATGGTTGCAGGCAGTTTGAGGAAGCTTTTAGTTTTGGTTTTTACAAATGCTGCCTTATAGCTGTTGTTTTGATTAATTGATTTGAGTGTCCTGGGAAGAGAACCTTGCTTCCTAAGCTGAGGGTGAATGTGGCTGTTCCTGAGTGTGTTTAATTCCAGTATTTAAGGCAGGAGGAAGATGTTTAATGTCTCAGTTGAAGTGTTGATTGTTGACAGTAAGGAAGAATAGTAAGATTTTTGTTCTTTAATTGAAATACAATGAAGAAATTTAAAAAAAAAAAAAAAAAAAGACAAATGTTTTCCTTTCTAACACTTTTCCTTTAAGAATTTTCCTGCAGAACTCTCTCAAACATCTTTTGAGCTGAACTTCTAAAACAAATTTACGGCAGGAAATGTCAGCTTCCTTTAAGAC